TCCTGAACCGGGGGATCCAAACACATCCAAAATCATCTGACACGGAGAAGCTGGGCTTGGCAGAAGGGACTGAATCGCATTTGCTGGGAGTGCTGGGCAAAACTGGCATGTTCAACACATCACAACTGCACATCACTATGCCCACGCCGGCGCCCTCTTCTTCGTCAGATGTTAGACTGCCAGTCAGTTTCTTCCATTGGTTTCGAGTGCTTCCAATTGTCAAGTGCCAGCTCATCACATGCTCGCGATCAAGACATCATTGGCAGAACCTCATGCTCATCCTCCCTCCTCGTCTCTCCTCTATCAGACCCGATGCAACGCCGTGGCAGGAGCCGATGCAACGCCGTTTTCAGACGAATGTCAACAGGCGACGAAGTCACCGTGGGCCGTGGGACGCGGCTCTGTCCGCCGCAGCGGCGTCCAGCACGACGTCAAAGAGGGCTCTGGATTGGAAGTTTGGTGTTGGAAAAGATTGGGACAAGTGATGAAAAGCACCTTTGATTCTCCCAAACCACAATAAACCACATAATTATCCAGTTTGGAGCAGGGGTGTGCTGAAAAACGGTAGAGGTCTGCTCTGAAAACCACTTAGTTGTAGAGTTATATAAATCGCCTTCCAGTCTGGTCCATGCCATCAGGTTCCATGTAGGTCTCTTCCCGGGTGTATTTGCATTGTATACAATCGCGAGCCCCTCATCGCTAGCTCCTCATCGCTGGTTGTACGTGTGCAAACGGAGGCTTGTGCTGACCACGGAAGGCGTCGCTTGGACTCAAATAACAAGCGGTCACAACGAACTCAGGTCCGGTCCTTTGGATATGTGTTCGTTTTGCCGAATATCAAATCAACAGATACCCGTGCAGACGGGTGACCGCCGTGTCATTTGCTTTTCTTAGTCTGTCATTTACCAATCTCATGCGAAGCAACTCATGCAGAGGATCCCAAACCCACAGTAACAATGAAACCCGGAATTTGGAAACATGATTAAGGAACATGAAGGATTTGAGTGCAACACTTGGAGGCCCCAGGTATATTTCTTGTTCAATTCGTTCCTCATGTGGTTTTGGATCTCCGAAAAAGAAAGAAGAACATCTCCACAACGCATCAAGGTGAACGTGGCGCTGACCAGCGCAGCCACCGCGGGTGTGCGCCAATCGTTAGCAACGCTGCTTGGTGATGGTGAAGTTCGGGGGCCTCTCACAACGTAGCGGACTTCCAAGAGAGGTTAAGTGACTGGAAAAAGGACCCTAATTACTGGGGTACCCAACTAGGATAGTCTATAATAGTCTATAATTAGTGTTCTGAAACACTTCTGTTGGTTGAGCGCAAACAGAAGATCCACTCTGTGGGTGCGTTGACTCTTCCATGGCAAAAAGGAGGGCGTAAAGGATGCTTGTTTTGGGGTGGACCGGCCTCACTCACTATCCCCAGCCTTGCTCCGGCCTCGCCCAGTTCGTCCAAGTTCGTCCTGTTTGATTCCTTTCTGTTCCAGTGTCTTTGAGGGTCTGAAAGGCCAATTGCCCAAAACCATCCTCACAAAAAACACCAGGCGAATTCCAATGCACCAGTGTCCAGTGACATTGCTCCAAAAACACCTCACAAATGAACCATGAGAACACCGGACTTTCTCAGGAAGCCCAGCTGAGCGACTGCAGCACCAGTTTGTTAGTCACTGGCAGCCACCAGTTCGACGAGGGCGACGCAAATTTGGCTAGCACGATATGTGGTAAGCCATATTTGATGTTTGAAGATCATGATAAGTATATATAACATGTTGTCGTATATTTAAAGAACATGATAAGCTGTCCATCGCGACAGACACTATATGTATGAAAATGTAGGGGTGAGCGACAGACATGTTGCTTGTAGCAAATTAGAACGCGGTTCTTGAGCCCGGAGTGCTACTTGAAAGACCAAATAATGATTGCTTTTGCAAGTGAAGGATTTCGATTGGTTGGCATTTGTGCTACAAGGCCTTTTAAATCTAGCCAACACCGGACACAACCTGGTGCTCTTTGACGACACAAACAAAAAATCATGGACCAAACTAGATCAAGATATTTTTCCAACGTTCCACGGTTGGCTGGGGGCTGCGAGTGACGCTTAGCCTCAGGAATTCGGGCGAAAACGGGGGCTGCACCGGCTGGGCATGGTTGCAATGGTTCCACCTCAATCGGTCCAATTTAACATATCTATGAAGCGATACGGATCCTATATGATCCTATCAAGTCATGTGAGCCAACGCCTCTGCAGGGAATCCCATCTTTCAAAATGACCAGAAGTTGCCGAAGTCATGTTCAAGTGCTCAGCATGATCCACTCAAGTGCTCACCATGACCCACAACTGCCCTGTAGAAGCTTGCAATGAATAATGACCATAACTGGCCATTGCTTGGAGCGGTGCTCGGGGCTTGCGAAGCCTTGAAGGCTTGCACTGATTGAGCAATACCAGTCCAGTCAATGCACTCATTGAGCTAACGGGTTTAAGCCCTGAAGGCCACAAATTATTTGTTTTGGTATGCTTTGATTCTGATGATCACCTGTCTCGTGTTCATTGGGCTCACGAATACACTATTTTATCTGAATGGCTTTACCGTACCATTGGTTGGAACATGAACTTCCGTTGAAATTATCAGTAAAAACATGTAAAAACAATGAGATGCTTTGAGGGTGTAAAATTGCCTTGTCGGAATTTCTGAACCCCCATGGAAGTTACCAATCATGGAGGCAACAGACATGGAAGCAATCAGTTGTTTGAGGAAAAGGGTTAGATAGATGTCATTTGCCATCCCCACGCCCACACCCCATATCATTCGATTTCCTGATTGTTGAAGTTGAATGACTTTCCTAGACTCTGCAGACAGTGACAGAGTTCATTTGCCTGTGGCTTTTGTCCTCCATGAACAATTGCAATCCTTCCGACGAGCACTGCTCTGCTCCAGCGCATGGCTCGTCTCCAGCACCTTCCACTCGCTCCGAACGGAGCCGTGGACGGTTGCCGTCGCCGATTCTTTGGCAGCGAAGCTGCCCTTCTGCGGCCAATCCGAGGCTGTCCGAAGCGACCCATGAGTAGTTGGAAGTTACATGAAGTCACCGTGAAGTGTGTTTTGAGCAATGTGTATCCTTTATGTAGGTGTTTGATGTTTCAATTCCACGGGCCTTTGTACGAATTAGACTATAATTCAATCTCCACACGGATGATTGCACTCGAACAGCTCTTTAGTTGGCTTAGGCATTCAGGGGAGATCGGGGGAGTATGTACACCATTGCTGTACCTAAGTTCTCTTGTTGGGTTGTATAGCAGTTCTAGCATGCTGAAGCATCATTTAAAGACCAGAGGGGGTAGACTCTTCAAGCTGTTCTCAAGCAACGGGGCACTTCTCCACCGGTCGGGGCACTTCTCGGCAGCTTTTGGAACAACGTTGGATCCTGGCGGGTAGTCTTTTGGCTGCTTTATAAGGAAAAGTTACTAGTAGTAACAAGTGCCTCGCTAGTAGTAACAGGTGCCTTACTACTAGTAACAAGAAGCTAGTAGTAACAAGTGCCTCGTTAGTAGTAACAGGTGCCTTACTACTAGTAACAAGAAGCTAGTAGTAACAAGTGCATCGCTACTAGTAACAGGTGCCTTACTAGTAGTAACAAAAAGCTATAAGCATCGGGTGGAGCCGAACGGATTGAGCCGGAGGTCTTCTTTTTGAAATCGGCTTGGCGCGGCTGATAGCCGCGCGGGAAGCCGCGCGGCTTCGAAGCGAGAGAAGCGAAGCATCCCTTGGGCTCTCCCAACTCATGGGAGTTGAGGGCGAAGGATCCATTGGGCAAAACAACATATTCAAAGAGAGGAGATCACCCCTCTCTAGAGTTTGCAACCAGGTGTAGTTAGTGCACAATTCAATTGTGATGCTGAGTGTTTCTCCCTGGCTCAAGATGCTCGACAAACCATCAATTTGGCAGCTTCCTTCCAACATCACTATGGGCATGATCCCTGAATCCATGCTTAGCAGAGCCACTTCGCTCACAGAACCAATGGGACCATGGGGGTTCAAGAAGTGAGCGCAGCCCCGTCTTTCAGCGCAGCGCCAGACTGGCGCCAGTCTGCAGCATGTGGCTTCTCTGGCTTTCGGTGGTGCCGGCGGCCAGCGCCGGCCTGGATTTGGCCAATTGGATGGGTCAGCTGCAGCCAATCCTGGGGATGCTCAGCTGCGGTGGACCCGGTGTTGGTGGCTCCACAAGGGAGTTTGGATCGAACAGCTTTGCGTTTGGGATTTGCTTTGACGCTTGTTCATTGTGCATGCCGTGTATGTATATATATATATTCTTTTTTTGTATGTACTACATTATGTATGTGTAGGCCATCCTTCGCCTTGCATTAAGGTGTTATCAGTTATATACTATTAGAAGCAAAAAGGTAGTGTACACATGGTTCAGCAGACGTTGAGCCGTTGAGGTAGATCTTCTGCCCCTGCTGCAGGAAGAGGTTTTTTAAATGTGCTCCAGCCAATTCCAGCAACTGTAATTCATCAGTTGTTGGATCGAACAGTTCTTGAAAAGATGACTGGAATTCCTCAATTGTTGTTCCGTGATGACATTGATGTGCTTTGTGCCATGTGTCTCCCCGCCCGGTTCTTTGTGCCGATCCTGGGGTCCGCTCACTCCTTCGGTGATCTTCCGGCACTGCTACAAGACGGAAAACCAGGTGTTCGGGGTTGCTAGGTGTCAGTTAGTAGCGATATGAGGCCCAAAATCAACTTATGCAAGCTGCAATTCTGAACGGTGCACATCTCGTCCCGCGCATTTGAGCGAGAACATATAAACCAGATCAGATACTTCTTGTGGCCTTGCGCTGTTCCCTCCTCGGCAGCGCTCGCAAGCGCTCGCTGAACCGCTCGTCACCGCTCGTCACCGCGTGACCTTGCTCACCGCGCTCGCCGCGTGCCACGGGGCGGCTCGGGGAACTCAGGAACGCCACCCTGCTGGATTTGTCGCTGCCTGGAACTCATGACTCGATGACCTACGACCTATCCGATACCTTGAGCGATGGCTATGAGGGCATGGGTCCAGTGATTTCCAACATTTTGCAGCTGGGCCGAATGAAGCCGGTGTGGGGGGGGGCGCACACAGGTGGAAATCAATTCTACGGGATGTTGATGTACTGTATGTTGTTTCAGTTGTTTCCAACCCTTTTTTGTAGTTCTTTTTTGCGCCCGGTTCAAAAATAAGGACCTTAGGTGTCGTCTAAGAAGCATGGATGAACGCATCTAAGCAACATGATGCAACATATATTCCAAAGTTGTGTCCCCCTGAACCGATACGTGAACCTCCAATTGATACCTGTGCCGTTCCTCCGTTTTCGTTGAGGCATGCCGTCACCCCGTTGGTGGCCGGGCGTTTCGTCCGAGAACAAGGGCAAACGCAAGGGATCAGCATCACGGACGCTCAGCCGAGTGGGCGAGAGGGCGAGCGGGCGAGTTTCGGTGGGGCTCCCAGACAGTCACTATAGGAGTCAGAGTATTCGGATGATTCGTATGGGATTCCTATGGGATTTACCAAAAATAAACAAATCTAATAGACATCTCTATATGATCTATGGAATTCCTATGGGATTCCTAGGGTGAGAAGGGCGATAATGAAAATATTAACATATCATATCGTTCTTTTTTTTTTCGAGGGTGATGTTTAAGTTCCCGAACTGGGATCCCATGTCAACCTACCAATGGGTGGGCGGTTCATCTTGGAAGCATTTTAAATGAAATTGAAGAGTAGCAAATGGACTTTCGCTCTGAGGAAACCTCTTTTTGCTTGGGAGACATACACAGAATTGTGACTCAACTCTCAGGCAGTTTGAGGCCAAACCTTTCGTAGCGAAAAGGATTTGCACTCCGTTCGTAGCGAGAAGGATGTGTTTTGTGTTTGCCCTTACCTTCAAATCGAAACTATACTACACCTTAGATCACCTTAGAAGTTTTAGACACAGCTAGACATTGCAGAAGAGAAATTCCTAATTCAATATTCTTTTGTGTTTGATGCACCTTTCATTCTTTCGACCTTTTTTGCAAGAGGTGATGAGACCTCAGATATCAGGAGCCCATACATAACCTGTTTGCAATTTTCATTGATCTATTTCAGGCAGTTGATCCTTTGCAGCTCGAATCCCCGCAAAGAACATCCTGAATTGAAGTACAGCTGTTAAATATACACAGTACAGCTGTCAAACAAACATGCACAGGTATATCAAACATGTTCCTTTGAAGGCCCCACATCCGTGTTTTCCATCTCACCGTTACTTAAGGACATGCTCAACGGCGGGGCACGCTTTATCGATTTCCGCATCATGTATACTCGGGGCCCTGATCGAGCAATTGGAGAGAAGGATTGGTACTGCCTACATGGCTGCGAGAGCCAAAAGAAGGCGAGGGATGCGATCAACCCATTTGGACCCTGGTTTGGATCAATCTTCCTTCTTTTTGTTCCTAACATCTTGGAGGTGTAAACTCTATATAGTCTCTCTCTCTATATATATTATATATATGCACACACGCATCTACACTGTTACACCGGTAGTTGCACAATGAATCAAAAGGCTGTTGTCTCTTACGGATTGGATGGCAGATGAATCAAAGGATGTCGATCAGGGGACACGTGCTCGAAGTCATGAAATGGGCACCTGCAAGTTGCGAGAGCACGTTCTGTGGCTTGAGTACACATTTCAAGCATGTTTGTTCCTCATAACCCTCACAAAGCCTCTTCACAGAGCCTCCCCCCCAGGCAAACATGCCATCATATGCCATCAGACGTTTCTCAGAACGGTCGATGCGCCGCTGTTCCGTTCCGCTCCGTTCACGTTCCGCTCAGACGAAACATCGTTCTTTCCGCAGCGCGCATGAACCCGCCGCGAAGAGCACCAGGCCTTGGAGTATCTGAAAGACGTCCGCACGTGGCTTCTCGGGACCCATCAGTCGAGTCGACGAACACGTCGACGAACGTTCTTCCGACCGTCCGGAGACGTGGAAAGACGAGTGTAGAGAGGCTTCTGAGGGATTTGTTAGGTGTTCGTTTTTTTTCAGGAGAGGTTTCTGAGGTTTTCCGATGTCTTGTTCAGGTCACGCATCGTATGAGGGATTGCCAAGTACGTGGATGCAAAAAAAGGATGAAGGAATTGGATACAGTACTACATGAAAAAACATGTGAAAAAGATGATTCTGGGAGTTTTGTAAGGCGAGAGTTTCAGCGTTCATCATTGAGCCAGCCAAGACATAATTAGTCCAGCATCAAGGAGTGGAATGCCATCATGAGGTTTCATGATGTTTGGACATTGATGACCTTTGTATCCAGAGCTGTTCGCGAGAGTCGTGTTTTCTCAAGACCCTAACAAAATCTGCCCCAGTCCATGTTTCTTTGAGAACCAAGCCAGGTGAGTCTGGGGCGGGACCAGGCCAGAGCCATTTTTGTCCCAGAGCCATTCCGTCCGTTTCGCCTAGGATGGACGCACACCCACAGGAGCTCGTGGTGCTTTGGGCCTCACGCCACGGCAATACCGGAGCTTGTGGGACGGACCAATACCCGGACACCACGCCGCAAGTGCGACAGGCGTTTTTCAAGCAGGCTGGGCTAGCTGCGCTGGCTGGGTAGAATATGGTAGAATCATGTTGTGTACGTGTGTGGTTGTGTGATCGAAAATGCGATGTTCAAGCAACCCACATAAGCCTCGGACATAGTTAAGTCTATAAGGGAAACACTTAGCAGAAGGTGATTCCAGTGTTCCAAGTTTGATCTGAGCATCTTTCTTATCGAGGTTTTTGTCCCGAACTGAAGCCGACCGCCGGTTTGGGAAGACAATCATGTTCGCTGACTGAAGAGAGAGAGAGAGAGAGAGAGAGACGTGCCCAGTGATGTGCCGGTATGCCGGTATGCCCTTGCCTCTCATAGCAGTTCAGACTCACTTCTATAGGTCTCGCAAAAATACACAAATCGCCGGCAAAATCATAAAGGGTCACTCCCGGACTCAATATATTAGGGCAAAACTCCCAAACATAGGTTGTCCCAATCGCATGTCTTCAGCTTGGGAGTCTTTCTTTCTCGCTCGCCTTCCCCCCCAACGAGATGCCAGTCAGTCCTCGGGCCTTTCGGCCGGTGGCGCCAGGTGCAGGAGGTCTTTGGAGAGCTGCTTTTCAACAGCACCCAACGACTGAACGAGACTTCGGTGCTTTCTCTTCAGAAGAGAAATCAGCCGATCGGCAGAGGAAGTGGATCAAATGATTCTACATGACGATTGAATTGGATGGAGCCCAAATCGCTCGACTGAATGCTATAGTATAGGATACCAGTTGATGCCATATCGACATACTCATGATCCATAATCATATATATATATATAAATATAACACCTCCTTTCCACCGTGCGTTGACCCTTTTTCCTCACCCTACACGGCCGCCCTCCTTTATCAGGCGCCTCGTGTGGTTGGCCACCGACTACGTGGAGTCCACCGAGTCCTCCCCGTTGGCGGTGGATGCCAAGAGCATCGACAACCAACTGGTGAACTCCGGTCATGGCCGCTTGGACTCCACGGCGGGTCCGCCGTGGACCTGGCGATGGAGGGAGGACTCGGTGGACTCGGGGCATGGGGGCATGGAGATGGGGAACATCATAAAGGGAAAGAAGACCTGCAGAAACTCGAGGAACTGAGGACACCTGCGGAAGCTCGGGGGGGAGGTGGATGAATATTTACACAGGCTCCACGGGTTGTTTCTCTCCATTTTGGGTGTTATGTTTTTGTATCCCTGCCATACTGGGGCTATTGTGGGGATTGAACTTTTGAACATTTTTGAACTGTCCGAATGGGCATCGCATTCGGGATAATCCCAACCTAGGAGACTCCACTGAACCCTGGGCAAACGGGAACTCGGAATGAACACCTCGTACTTGATGGTCCGACCATTTCTGAGCTAGACCAATTTTTCCGCTCCCAGATGTGTAACCTGAACAACTGCAGCTCAGATTGTAAATATTGCAGCCATGGATTCATCCCATCCAGGAGAAATCATCAGAGTTTATACATTCCCATGGGAGCATTGTTGAAGCAGTTCGCTTTGTGGAGTAGTCCTGACAGTACCGAGATAAACCGAAGGCTTGGGAGTCCTAACAAAACCACCTTAAAGGGTCGAACCGAAGAGACCAACAAAAACCGAGGTCTTGGAGCGATCAAGTTCCTCAGACAAGGCGAAGTCCCTCAGTTGCGGGGGAGGGCGGAAGCTTGCTTCCTCTGAGATCTCGGACGCGTTCGTTCCGTTCCGAATCAGCGGTCGTTTACGGCCGGGGGAGCCGTTTTCAAACGGCCGTGCCGGTTGGCCGTTTTCTTGGATTGGTGCAGATTGGAACTTGAAATTCTTCGAGGTATCCATAGGTATCCTGAATGTGCCTCTTCAGGTTGCTTATTTTGTTGAGGAAAACACATATAGCGTTTGAACCTATGGTTCGCTCGTCAGTGAGCGGAGCTCGTCAGTTGTGCTTCGCTTCTTTGCGCAGAAGTGGCTAAGTGGCTTAGCGTACAAGTGCAAGACATCTACAGTTATCTATTCTCCTACTTTCTATGGACATAGTATGGACATAAGCTGATTTTCTGAGCTTTTAAGTAGGTGTAGGGGTGTATATTGAGTAACCCACATCACTTTCTTTCTTTGCTTTTTGTATCCTACATACACCCCCCTGTACCCTGTACCCCGGTACCGCCTGTACAGGGATCGGACTGGGGGGCAGGGTGTTTGAAACCGGGAGGGCCACCGATGAACTCGGCAAAAGCCTGGTGTCACTGACTGGGCCCGAAAATGACGCTACATCTTGACCCACGATGATCCATGATCATCTTTCCACCTACTGGATTTCTCACCTGAACCAAATCCACTGTCAACATCCGCATGCAACTCCCTTGCACTTCCGGTTTGTCGAAGCCATCCACACATATCCACACTTCCCTCCCTTTTTGGCACCGGTTCCTTCCAAAACTACCAGCTCCACTGACGCGCTACGCTGCTACGCCTGCTCCTCTTTGCTCCGCTCCACGTCTGCTGCAGGCGGACCCAAGCGGCGTGATTCCTCTGCTCAGAATCGCTTTTTGCTCATGAGCATGGCTGCGGGCGTGGCCAAGGAGGCCATCGAGGCAGCGGCCAAGAGCCTGAGCTGAGAATCCGGCCGGAGCAGCCGTTAGTTAGTCGCCGATTACGCTCGTATACAAAGGCCATCTTGTGACATGGGGTTGGAATAGATCAAACTGGAAAAAAACAGGGGGGTACCCCTGTGCCATCCACATGCCTATTTTTCGGGTTTGTGGTCCGAGATGTGCTGCCCGAGTGGTTTGCACTGTTGGCATTTTGTGCTTGTGGTTGCTCTTCTGGTCTTCCTCTTCCAGACCAAAAGCAAAAACAGCAAATAACCACAACCACTAACCAACAGCAACAACAACAACAGCAACAACAACAACAACGAACAACCACACAGCCAACTACTACTGCTACTGCTGCCCCTTCAGTTTCTGAGCCTCAACAGCGACCCAGCCGCACCTTGCCCTCTTTGCGTGACGACTTCAACAAGATCTTTCCTGCCTTGTCACATGACTTTGCGTCAACTTGGGGTTCTACTTTCTGGACATGGAGAGCAGAAGTGCGTCCCAAGAACTGGGGGAGCCGGAGCAGTGAAAAAGGCCCGGAAAGAGGGCTTGGAAAGGTACAGAGTCTTGGAGTCGATTTTGACCAGATGTTCAAATCACATCAGAGGCTGCGTCGAAGGACATCAAAGGTGTGTTGTCATCGTGTTGTTCACAATGTATCCTTTCAGTATTGTAAGAGGAAGAGCGCGTTGTTTGCTACGGGTGCAAGGGTTGATGTGTCGTAACTTTATGATTGCAGGTTGCTCGGCTGTCCATCAACCCATTGAATCACAGAGTGATGCGAGTGTGTGTTGTTGGAGCGGAGAGAATGTAACGTTAGGGTCAGAGAGAATCAACGTTCTGGTGTCTTTGCTTAGGATTGAATTCCTGCCCAACGTCTTCGGCACTCATGATAAATGGAGAAAGGCCAGGCACAACGAACGGACAGCAAACAGGGCGCACACAGTAGACAGACCCACTGAGAGAAGTGAAACATATCATTTTTCCTTCTTGGACCTGATGGGTGGGCAATTTGCAATATTGAGCCAACATGTTCCAACACCTTTCAACATGTCATTATATTTCAAACATTGCAAACACATTCCAAGCATGTTTGGACATATACCACAGGTATCCACAGGTATCGTTTTGCTGAACACCATCCGAGCCGACGCTTCGAACGAACGAACACTCGGTGGTAGGAGTGTGCCGCGACCAGCGGTGTTCCAAATATGACCTTCTGCCCGAAGTACCTCATGGAGTGGAGTTTGATGACAAACTTCTACAACCAGACGCCCAGTTCGAAGCATTCTTTGGTGTCAATGTTGAGGAAACATAGCGCTGTTGCGGAGATGGAAGATCGGAGGGGTGGAGGAGCATTCAGAAAGCTCAGCTCCAGAGGCGTATTCCCTTATGGATGCCTTAGACCGTCTCTAAATGAGAAACGGTGTGCATGTCACAGATGCCTCTATAGGAACTAACTGCTTGTCAAACAGAACTGTTGCAAGATGCGTTTATTTTCCCAACTTCAGGTTTGGGATGTGTAGGGTCTTAAGCATGCAAGCCTTGATTCATGTCGACAACCCTGGGATTCACATGGTTTGACCAAGTTGCATGGGTCTTTTTGTTTTTGACAATTTGACCTGCCTGGAGCACTTTTCCCTTTAACCCTGCAGAACACTTCGACGCAAACCAACATAGATCATTGTTCAAGGCCGAAAAGTATGCTACTTGAGTTGCATGCATTTCTCACTTCATGCCAAACACTTGAACTCTGGCGTACGTCCGACCGAGGAAAGTGATCGACATGGCGTACGTCGAGGGCGCTGCTGATCTGGACGTGGATTTTCCCAACGCCATCTACCTGGATGCCATGGACCTTGGGGGTCTCATTCGCACAGGTACAGCACCTTGATCTGCCTTGACCAAGCAGACGTTGGGACATTGGTCGATTTCTGTCGTGCTTGACCAAGCAGCCCTTCGGAACCGCCCTTCAGTTGGGATCATACTTTCTTTGTTTCCTTTCGAAACATCTCTTTCACATTTTGATATGTTTCGACATGCAACCTACTGTACATGGAGTTCACATGTTCTACCATGACGTTCATCTTAAACAATGAAACCTGTCCCGGGCTGAGGCGACAATAAACCCATTGGAGGACCGATCGATGTGACATGCAAAGTATGACAAAATACCCATCGGCACAACAGAGCATAAACCATGTTTGAACAACAGATGCAAGTAAGTAAAGACATGCACAAGTAAATATAGACACTGACGAAGGGAAAGACGACACCTGCTGTGTTGGGCGTTGTGGCTATGCCGCGGCTGGTGCTGCTATGCAAGGTTCGTTGATGATAGGTGATAGGTGATGATAGTAGGTGACCTTGTTTTGCAGAAAAGGTTCCTTGAAGAACAGCTGTGTTCTTTTGGGGTGGTTAAGAGACCCCCCTTCGGCCCGTCTCGACTTCTACGACTTCGGTCCGCTTTTCGGGTGAGCTGTCACACCGGTCAGCACAGCTCTCACACCGGTCAGCACCCCAAAGGAGGGACCGGTCCATGGCACCGATGGATTTGCCTATTCCGCCACGGTGATTGCGGCCACGGTCTGACGTCTGTGTCGGCGGATCCTCGGCGGACCGGGCGGTCGGTCTTGCCTGAAGCGGCGTTGACCGGTGGACCGGAGGTGTTTTTGAGGCCATTTTTCCAACTACGAGAAGGTGTTGTCCATTATTGTACTACTGAATCTGCGACAGTGTTTGTTTTAACATATTTTAAATATGTTTAAATGTTTTATCCATTATATGTTGCATTGCTTTATGATGGTTTGTACCCCCACCGCATGTCTTCGTTGCTTTGAGATTGCTTGGGATTGACCAGGGAGATCCGCGGAAGACTTTCTGCGAACGAAGACCTTTCTGCGTGATGTGTCCGTTCGACTGACCCTACAGTAACAGTGGGTAAAGATTTAGGTTACACTGCACTCCTTGAAATAATCGTTGAAGTGAAAGACCTTGGAAAACCACCTGTTTGTAGAGGAGAATGATAATCTAAGGGCCCAAACGGGCTATCCACTGCCATGATTGTTTCAGGGATTGTGAGCGGCTGTTCGCTGTGGGGGGAGTGCTTGGGACATCCAAATTGGGTCGAAGTGTCTTGGATTAAAACATCGCCCGTTGTCAGCGGTGGCAAACATGAACAAGGCTTTAATATCTATTCCGGAAGAATCGAGCAAAATAGAGCTGCGTGAAGTCTCACCACAGCAGGACGGAAAGTCAAGAACAATCAAGAACACATAGAGCAGTTAGAAGTTGTATACCATATATATATATATAGATGCGTGTATCGTATATAGTCATATAGATATATATATATATATAATGACACTAAGACCATCACTATAGACAAAAACATAGAAGAGACGAAGAGACATGTTGCCGTGTCCAAGATTGAACATCTTGGCAAGCATTCACCAGGACACCATCTCCAAGTGGGTGTTCTGACCTGGCGACGCTCGTGGAAGCAGAGCGAACGAAACATCCGCTGAGCCTTTGGGATGACCCTTGCTCAAATTGGCGGAGGATCCATGCACACACTGGACCCATGACCCCTGGGGACACAGAATTGGTCATCCGATGTGGGATCAGAACACATGTGCCCCAATGGTCTTTGGCGATGTTGGATCTAGTTTGTGAGTGGCATACTCTTGGTGTATCAATAAGCTTGCTTTATGTTGTACTTCGCAGAGGTTGATCCAAAGGAGCTGCGTCTTCGAGTCTTTCCATATTCTTTTTCTGAAGGTCCGCGTCATGTTCACAGGATTTTCTGAAGGTAACTTTCTCGAGTCCGAGTTCAGAAAATCGGTTTCATCCGGGTGTCGAAGTGTTCTTGAAAAGGACAGGAACCGGAAGTGGTAGCATGACAACTCAGAGGCTATCAGCACTCCAACCTCTTTAAGCGAGATGAGTCAAAATCACCGGAAAGTCAGAACATCGTCACAGCACCCGTCACTGTCACAGCAACATATCCACACCGCGTCACCGTCACCCCCTCGATCTGCCCCTCGTTTTGGGAACTCCGACCGCCGCTGGTCGGGGTCGCTGCGAACGCGTCGTTTCGGCCGAAGGATCCTGCGAACGGCCGTTGCTTGGTGCGAGAGAGACCAGCGGAGAGACGAGCGATGGACGAGAAAGACCAGTACCAGAGTCCCAGACCCGATAGTGGATGAGTGATTTATTGGTTGATGAGTGATTTATCAGTGGATTTGCTCGTTTGTCCATGAATTGATCAATGTCATTTGCAGTATACTTGTTTTTCATGGTTGGTGAACAAATATGATGCTCACACAATGGCCTCTTTTGGTGTTGAAGATTTAGTTGTCCAACGTTTTCCACCCATCAGTGATCCAGCGAAGTGGGGTTGCAGGCTCTGGACTGCCTAGATTCCTTTGGCCAACAGCAGCTTCAAAGTGGAACAGATGTAACATACCATGTGTATTAAAAGCTATTAAAGGATGTTGTATATAACATATATATATATATATATCATATATACATAAAGGCAAGACCTCACATGTTTTCTTGGTTTTGTGGTGTTTGTAGCTCCTTGTACGCTGAGAACTCTGACAGGCACACCCCTTTGTATTCACCGTTAATTGGGAATGAGGAAATAGATGTTGGTACCCTTTTAGCAGGTGCAACCCTTAAAGTGTCTTGAATTTAAATGGATCAAAGCGACTTGGTTAATTAAAGAGTTAGGTTCTCCATTGCATGTTACTCTCTTATTGCAGTGTGAATGAACATCATCAAGGGACAAGCAACCCAATTTGACCCTACTCATGTGACGCACAGTTAAGCAAACAACCACATTGCTATACAAAGCCCCAGGCGATCTTGCTTTGATTTACCCTCAGTCAGATGGCTTGTAGTTCTTCTCGCCCTTCTTGTATGTTTGAGGTCTTTCTGGTTGGCCATCCCTTCGCAAGGACATCGAACACTTCATTGTTTGAGAGGCCTGGGATGGCCCAGGAGTTGGCAGGAGTGGCCTCAATGAAAAGGCTGTTCATCCGGAACGACGTCTATTGAGCCTATACGAACCCTTCCGGTACGAGCATGCATACTGCCGAGGTGATCACCAGTATACTCGCACTGTTGTTTGCCAGCATTCCTCAAAGTTGCCAGGAAGAGTTCTTGGAAATGCCACCTTCTACTGAGTTCTTGTATCTCATGATTCACAAAGCTATTCAAGTGTGTGGCCGCAGATGACAGAAGCGGATGTACTGAATCACTGACGCAAGAAGAATCACAAAGGTAGCAGCACAGCAGAATCAGATCTACAAAGGTAGCAGCAGGAAGAATCCCCGACGCAATGAAGGCTTGCAGGAATGAACCCTTCTCACTTCATGAAGGCTCGCAGACTCTCTTTGCCCATCACAAGCATCTGCAATTGCAGACTAAGGGCCCTTTGGCAGACTAGGATACTAGACTAGGAGCTTCACTTCTCTTGTCAGGTCTCGGGCGTTAGATGTTGAAGATGACATGGTTTGGTAGAAGAACAAACAAAGAACCTATACAAGGAATATACAATACACGACTTTCATGGTCTTAGTAGAAGACTCAACACTCGGCGTCGTTCAAAACCCCGTGGTCTATGTCCTTTCCTTGCCTATCTCATTGGACTCCGGCCGGAATGGGCGGTCGGTCGCTTCCGGGTCGGTCCGGAAGCTCCTCTGCAGGTTCGTCGTGACGGGGCACCGATCGATCCTCAGGTGGGCGTCGGATCCGGCGACGCGGTCGACGTGCAGCGGGGGATGCGACGTGCTAGGATGGAACAAAGATAGGTATAGGATAGGAATAGGTATAGGAAGAACTCCCAACAGGATAGGATAGGTGGCAGCCTTTCCTTGTTTTGTGTAAGAACTCCTAGGGATCAAGAAAGTTGGTCTCCTTTCATTCCAGGAAAAGGGCAAGATTTGGCTCATGGAACAGGAGCGGCCGTTCATTCCAGTATGTGTTTCTTTCTGTCATGGTAGGTCATGGTAGGTAAAGATTGGGCAAACATGGAGTGTGTTCATACGATCCGAGTGATCCAAGAACGGTTTCTTTGTGGATCTTTGTAGCTTCCCAGCAAAGCACCTCGCTGGTAAAGCAAGAAGTTCTTGTAACCCTCATGGAAGATTGAGGCAAGAGACATCCTCTTCCTGTAGGTTGGTGGCTTCTGAAAAAGCCCCCTTCGTGATATTATTCATCTAAACGAAGCAGATGCGTTGAAGGCACGGGTCAGCTCAAGCATCCAACCAAGGTTGGTGGTTTTGGGTGAGCTAAAAGCGGCTGTTTTGGAGCACGTGAGATCCAACACCCAACAAGATATTTTTGGAACCCAGCATCGAAAGACCCTCCTTATGTTGGTGTGTGTGGGTTTACGAAGACCAAAGCAGGCGGAAGAGAGCTTAGGGCAGAGAGGGCGAAGACGAAAGAGAGAGCGTAGAGAGGGCGAAGAGTATGTGTATTCTACATGCACGAATGGCCACTGAACGCCAAAACTAAGTGAAAGGACTTCAAAGAAACATCGCCCCCCCAATCTTTGGTGGTAGGAGTGAGCAAGTCGGAGCATCCAACCGCAGCCATGGAGGATGTTTCGGTCATGTTTGACGAAGGCCGTGTTGAAGTCAAGGTCAACTCCGCGGTCTTGATGCTGGCTTCCCCGGTCTTCCATAGCATGCTGACGCAGACAATGAAGGAAAGTGAAACCAAGCAGATCGAGTTGCCAGATAAGGATCCTGAGGAGTTCAAGGTGTTGATGTCCTTCTTGATCCCCCCAACTGCTCGCCTGCAAAGGATTTCAGTGGAGAATGTGGACTTCCTCTTGGTGTGGAGTGATGAGTACTGCATTGATCCATTGAAGTCTGAATGCCTTGAGTTTATCCAGACGCAGCCAGCTTCAATCCAACGAGTGCTTCAGGCTTATGCCTTTGACCTACACGAGTACTTGGACCAGTGCATTCGCGAGCTCCTTGCTGCAAAGACAGAGGATTGGAGCCCTTGCTACGGGGAGCAGAAACTCGTGCAACAAATCATGGAAAGTGCTGTGAAGTTGCTCATGTCTCATGTTCATAAGGAGGGGAAGCTGGACTTTGGCCACCACTTGCAGTGCATCAAATGTTCACGCGCCTACAATGCCGGATGGCAGTGCTCTCAATGCAAGTACAAATAATGTTGAAGAAGTTGAAGAATAGTGAATGCTGGCTCACCTGACTCTATGCCATCGGGATACGCAGGTCCAATTTAAATCTCAGAGGCAGACCTGGCAGCCTTTTGTAGAATGCTCTTGTCCTTTGCAGTCCGAAAGAATGATGTGTTCGACATTGTGTTGCACGGGGGCTTATGCGAATCAAGTACTGTGTCTTTCATCTATATAAACGTCCCTGCATCTATCCTCAGGAGGAGCTTATTCTCATTTCCACACACTAGCAGCCACTAGGTACTCAACTTGGTGTCAGAGGAGTCTTGGTGTTAAAGGATGTTCAAGGTATAGGCCCCTCACCTTGGCTCCGACCTTCGCCACGCTCCTCCGCCGGGCCAGGCCTTTGATCTCTGGCGGTCGCCCGACCTTCTTCGCGGCCGAGGGGCTGAGGAGAAAATGGACGTGGACCGCGGAGTTCGCACGCGCGTACGTACGTCGGGCAGTCCTGGGAGTTCGCCCAGGCGTTTTTGGGAGTTTTAGTTTGAAAAGACATTGCGCCCCTGACACTTCCACAGCAAGCCCTAGAGAATCGGAACTATTTCTTACTTCCCTCGATTCGCAAGATCTAGTGGATCAGGATGATCAGGCATATATATATATATTTATGAGATTCTTCTAAGGGTTGCCTCCAAGAAGCAAGCGTTTTGCCAGCATCCTGTCGCCGCCGCTTGCTGTCACTTGACCCGTTTGATTTCGCTGGGCTCAAACTTCAGAGGCAAAAGTTTCCCGTTTCACGGGTTGGATTTCTAGATGCCAGGCCCGAGCTTTGCAGCCTTGCCATGAAGATTCAAGTGAAGCAGCTGAATGGGACAGTTGAGGAGGTGGAAGTAATGCCAGATGCTCGAATGCATCCATCTCAGTGCTTGTTCTAGTGGTTCCATGTGGTTCAACATATTGTTGTGGTTCTATGTGTTCTATCATAGTTCTAGTGCTTCCAGTGCGGCTATGTCTATATGTGGTTCGTTGTGTCTACTATCATATAATTACAACGTTCCAGGCTTGCAGGAGCCTCAGCTCCCAGGTGAAAATGATCTATAGTCAAATCTGTACCCTCAATTGGTGGATCTTCAGGTCCAAAAAGGGGCCCAGGTTTCGACCCCACAGAAACCCATGGCACAGAGGCCAAGCAAGACTTTTTTTTCTTAATTGTTTCTCGAGGCTGGAAAAGGCTGGAAAGAGCCATTGGCCACAGACTTCCGATTGCTTTTTCCCGACCCCGCACAAGGCACTTGGGCCATAGACTTCCGATTGCTTTTTCCCGGGCCTGGAAAAAGGAACTGGGGCTGCCGACGACCGAGAACATCCAGGGAAGATGGGCCCCGTGTCACCACCATTTCTGCTTTTGCTCAGCGGTGGAAAAAAGCAGCTGGGCCACAGAGTTTCGATATTGCTTTTTTCCAGGCCCGGCAAAAGGAATGGGCCCACAGACTTGCGATTGCAACTGGACCACAGGCTTCCGATGCCTTTTCCCCAAGTGGCAACTGGGCCAGAATACGCAACTGCGCCACATAGGGAGCAGGATGGGCCACGCTTCCAGGTCCTCTTTTTGCTTCTTCCCGGGCCTAGAGAAGGCAAATTGCCCGAACCTAGGCAAACAATTGACCCACAGAGATCCGAGCCTGGAAAAAGCCACTTGTGGGTGACGGACTTCCGATTGCTTTTTCCCGGGGCTGGAAAAAGTGATTTGGCCACACGCTTCCGATTGCTTTTTTCCCATGCCTCAAAAAGCAATTAGGCATGCTTTTTAGTCGACCCTGGAAAAGCAATTGGGCCACGCAGACTTGCAATTGCTTTTTCCCAGCTCGGGAAAAAGCAATTTTCCGGCCACAGACTTCTGATTGCTCTTTTTCCCGAACCTGGAAAAAAGCACATGGGCGGCAGACTTCCATTGCTTTTTCCTGGGCTGGAAAAAGCAACTTATTTGGCCACACGCTTCCGATTGCTTTGTCCCGCTTCCGATTGCTTTGTCCCGGGCCTCAAAAAGCAACTAGTCCACAGACTTGCAGTGTGCTTTTTAGTCGACCCTGGAAAAAACAATTTTTCCTGGCTTGGGAGGAATTTCTGACCACAGACTTCCGATTGCTTCTTCCCGACCTTGGAAAGGCCATTGGGCCACAGACTTCCGATTGCTTTTTGTCTGGAGGCTAGAAAAAGCAATTAGGCCACAGACTTCGGATAGCTTTTTCCGGGCCTGGAAGAGCAATTGGGGCCACAGACTTCCGATTGTTTTTTTCAACCTTGGAAAAGTGCAATTTGGGCCACAGACGTCCGATTGCTTTTTTTCCGGTCCTGGAATATACCTTTGTGGTGGGGAATTTCACAAGAATGGCGAAAGGTCTGCATTGCGGACGCGAAAGACGACGTGGCAAAACCCCACCACTCTACTTATGCTTGCTGGAAGCACGCAAGCAGCTCAGGCCCCCTGCTTCTTGGGATCACCACCTCTGTGGCAGCAGCTCAGGAAAAACTCGCCCACCAGCTGCAGATGCAATTTGCCCACAAACTTCCGATTGCTTTTTCCCACCCCGGGCAAAAGCAAGAGGAAAGGGGGCTCGAGCCCAGGACCTTTTGCTTGTAGGCCTTATTATGGTTTATCCATTAGACAACAGTTCCTGAGCCTATCCCTGGAAGCAGCAAGTGGTCTGCAGAGGTCAAATGTTTTTTCCCGGGCCTCAAAAAAGAAACTCGCCCGAAGGCTTCCGATTGTTTTTTCCCGCTCCTGGAAAAGCAATTGGGCCACAGACGTCTGATTGTTTTTCCCGAGCCTGGAAACAGCAATTGGGCCACTAAGTTTCGATTTTTTCCCAATCCTTCCGATTGTTCAAGCAATTGGGCCAGAAGAGGGGCAAGAAGAGAGAAAAGAAAAGAGAAGGGATGAGCCGGAGTTCCTCAACAACAGCTTGGTTCCTTGGGGGTCTTTAGTTCCAACGAAAAACACTTTTCGCCGACAGTGGGAAAACCCCACGCGCAAAATTAGCTTGCGAAAACTTCGCAAAGGTCCTGCGAAAGGCTTGTGAAAGAAGGACTATTGAACAACCCCCATGTATGGACAGTTCAGTCCACCTGTTTTTTCCCAGGGAATTGAAGTAGTCAGGGGTCAAAACCTGGAGCTCTAATCCCTGCTAGGTTGACCTAGTTGTGTAGCTTTGGGGTTTGAACGCACTAATTATGAGAGTTTTCACTTGCGTTGGCATGCTTCTTTACGTCCTTTCTATTTGTTGATTCATTGACGATTCAAATATATAGGATTGTATCAACTTCCAAATATTTCCAACAGATGCAATTTCATATTGGCGGTATTTGGCTCGAATGCAGCACTTGTAGTTTGCCTTCCCTCTTTTGTGCTCCCTGATAACTCCAACCAGGCAGTTCTCTGAATGTCGCCGTAGTGAAGGGACTCTTCTTCATTTTTGCCATGCTTGGCGTTGCCTTGCAAGGCTGCGGCTGCGATGAGGATGCCACGAACAGCTGCTCAGTGCTCGTCGCTGCCGATGCGTATGCGAACCTGATTACCGCTTGCGCCGCTGCAGAAGCGTCGCTGAAGTGCATTCCCGACCACGGCTGCTGCGACCTTGAAGTGGAAGGGAGGCGGAAAAGTACATGATTGAGGGCCTGTCACGGTCGGCAGGGTGCAATATAACCAATGCATGCTGATGGCCGGACGGCAATTAGGTTGGAGGCCATCGCTGACTAGAGACTTTGGTCTGAAGAGCAGCTACTTCTCCCTCCCAAGCGCGCAGACTTCTGTATGGAGGGGCCTCCTAAAGGTCCTAGCTCATCCCACAGATCATATGAGAGAGACTGCTATAGCGCCGCTACCGCGCTGAATTTTTTCCTGTGGAAGGAGGGTAGATCCTTGCTTTGACTTGCCTTTCCAGCAAAGTCTGCAGGGGGGTTGAGAGCTGATTGAAATGTCGGTCATAAAAGAGATTTATCACTTCCCTTGAATGTCGTCAAATGCTTTTGCCTCCCAACGCTTTTGATGATTGAACTTCCTGCCCATGTGCAATGCATTGCTTTTCTCTCCGACATGGGTGAATTGATGACGGTATGTGGATTTTGTTGATTGTAGGAGTTATGTTCACTCCTGAGATTTTGGTGCGATCCAGCAAGCTACAGACTTCCGATTGCTTTTTGCAGGGCCTGGAACAAGCAATCGGACGTTTGCAACCCAATTGCTTTTTCAGGGCCCTGCACAAAGCAATTGGACCAGAGTTCCAATTCTGTTTTTCCCGGAAAAGCAATTGGGCCGCAGACTTCCGATTGCTTTTCATTAGGCTGGAAAAAACAATTGGGCCACAGACTTCTGATTGTTTTTTCCCGACCTTGGAAAAAGCAATTGGGCCGCAAACTTCATAGGGGTACCCTAAGCACATGTGAGTACCCTGCGACGAAACACATCACATGGAAGCGGAACATATCCTGTTCGTCGAGAATATTTTGTTTTTTCCGAGTCGTAGCGGTTGCCCTCTCCACTTCCATGCGATGTGTTCGTCGGAACCGCTGAAGCTCGACGGTTTACTATTTTGTTCGGGGCATGCACGGTTGTTTTTTGCATCGAACATTTGAGACTGTCAGTTGGGGACAGTTGTGCATTGTTGATGAGTAGTTCATGTTTGACTTATCACTTGCTTGACTACTTCAGTGCGCCATCCTCCATGTATGATATTGTAGACAGAAGTACTACCCTCCCTAGAACTAACATGGAAACACCTGTTGGTAGAGGAACATTGTTTTTCCAGAGGCCATGTTCCACTTCCATGTTCGTTCCAGGGAGTGTCTCACGGTGCATCCTATCATTCAGTCCATAAAACCAATTAAAACTATACCGCTCTAGTTCTTTGGCCAATGAATTGCTGAGGCTGGAGGATGAGAAAACAGTCACAGATGTAGGCATCTCTCCTGGTATGGAGGCGGGGATGGGCCGAAACTCCAAAACCATTATGGACCATAGAGTTAGTTTTGGAGAA